TGAAGAAAAGATTTTAGCCAAATTAAAGAAAATTTCTTTACTAGATTAAAATATACAGTTCAAAAAACTGAAAGAATAAATTTAAATGAAGGAAATGTACAATTATATAATTGACAGATCAAATTTAGAGAAGAAAAAATTAGTAAACTAGGAGAAGTCATTCATTTGCTATGCTTGGAATGAATAATGGACAAATAAATTGGACTAACTTGTATTTACTCAATATATTGGATAAAAACGAGATTAGTGTAGAAGACATAAAGATTACTAATAGAATTCTAGATATAGAAGCTATCAATAAAAATACTTTAAGAAAAATGGAAGAAATTGGGAAAACCCTTTCACAAGAATTAAATTCTATTAAAGAAAGAATAAAAAAATGTAAAAAATTTCAAAGATCCTAATGAACTAAGGGAAGTTATACAAGCCATAAAAGATTTAGAATCGTTAATATCTTGAGTTAGAGAAATAGGAAAATAGAATAGATGAAATCATTAGAAAATTAAGAACAATTACTCAAAAATTGGCAACAAAAGCTTAGAAAAATGCATAATAAAATAGTTCCACAACTAGAAAGTGATATAACAAGAATTTCTACAAGATTTAAACTAAATTTAAGGATCTACAAAATATTATAATAGCAATTTCCAACAGAAGAAATATTATATATAGAAGCCAGGGACTTAAAGTCATCCTCAAGATTTTCATAAAAAAAAAAAAAAAAAAGAAGAGAAAAAGCTAAAGGAATAACTCTTTACAATGTTAGAAATACAAGAAAAGAAATTATAGGAATATCAACAAAAATTTTTAGGAAAAAAAAAAGAAGCAAAAGAGAGATAATTTTGTGTAAATATATAGATTACTCGAACCCTTGAACAATTAGAAAACATGAAGATGAATGCTCATCAAGAAGGTGATGGCATTGCCGAGCAAAAGAAGAAGATAGTGAAGAGGACAAAAATCACTGACTGCCCAATATAATTCTAATAGAATTTCCACTATAACTTGAAATAGTAACTAGCACAACTCAAGAATTAAGGAAAAAATAGAATTCAAAGAAATGAAGCTGATATAGAAATCAATGACTATAGATACCAAAGATTCATAAACCAAAATAGGCTTGAGATACTAGTCCTAGTCAAACAACAGATGATTATGTTGGGTTTAAGAGGGTGTAATGGAAGCAAATAAATCAAAATTTTCTTAATCCTCTTTTGATCTTCTTGTTGCACAAGGCTCCCTTTCATTTTCAATGAAGCAAAAATCTTTGATTGCTTTCTCAAAATGAATGTTACAACTCCTAGAAGCATTCATTTCCATGAATAGACTTTTGCAACTTGTATATCTTTTTAGCCTCTTGTGGCTTTAAAAAATTATCTAGCTATGTCATGTAGAAATCGCTAATCAGATTTGCATTAAGGAATGTGGTTTTGACATCCATTTGCTAGATCTCATAATCATGGTATGTATCAAGTAAAATGTGAATGATTTTAAGCATGGCTACTATGAAAAGGTTTTGTCATAGTCTATTCATTGATGTTGCTTGAAACGTTTAGCAACCAATCTCGCTTTATATGTATGCATCTTACTATCCATATCCCTTTTGTAAAGACAAAAAGAATCAAGAAGACAATCCTATGGGTTCAGTTTATTGTATTTCTTGTGGAGGTTATATGCCCCATCCTCATGATCAATATAGTAATTTATATTAACCTCTTGTATATATTGCTTGCTAGAGGTATTATTGCAATCCACCTATGCTAAGACCTCCATGTCGAAGAGCTCCTACTCACTTTGGAAAGATCCCAATTTCATATACTGATACATTCATGCAATTAGTGGCCATGGGTCAAATTGTTACGACTCCTATAGAACTAAGAAGACCTCATTTTTACACATGGTATAACCCTTAAGCAAGCTTCAAATATCATGATGGTGGAATTGGGCTTGATACAGAGTCTTGTCCAGTTTTACATCATCATAAAGAAGATCTCCTTGATGCAAAGAAACTTAGGTTTAAGCCTAAGACAACAACACTTGGTCCAACATTATCCAGAATCCTATGCCTATTCATCAAGACCCTACAGTTAACAAATTGGCTGATAATAAGAAGAAAGATGATTTGGTTGAAGCCTTTGGAAGTATGAGCACATGTGCTATTGATGATGAGACTAAAGCCAGTATGGCAACTATGCCTGTTCATGGCAAACCTCTTGTCACTTGCTCGGTGGAATTCTTTCCTTTGCTCACTTTCAATCTATAATGTGTAGTGTCAGTCCACTTAAGGCTGCAACAAGGATGATTCTACAAGCACTTTCATATTTTCTGAACCATTTTTGTCTTCATGAATAATGTTCCATTTCTTTTTAAATTCAATAAGACATGTTGCATTATCATTCCATGTCTTTTCCAAATACCTTTTCTCAATAAAATTGCTCAGTTTATCTTCATACTACATTGCTTATTTGTTCATATTTTCTCTTCAATTCCACATTTGTTGATGATAAATATGAAAATAGTTATGTTATTCTTGAATAGACATGACTTCAAAGGGACCAATCTATGTTGTGGAAGATAAAGAGGAATTAGATCTTTCCTTGAATTAATTGAAATGTTGAAGGAATTTGAGCTAAAAGCATCCCAATCAATTGGAGATGGAGGTGGTACATATCCT